ACTCCTAATAATTCTTACAATTGCATAAAAGCATTCCACAGTCAATCATTAGGCAAAATTAAATTAACTTCAAATAAAATAAGTTTAGGCTAAACGCCCGGTTAAATCAATAATCGTGGTGTGGTATTAAAGCCTAAATCCGACAATATTGGCTTAAAATACCTAGTTAATTAATAGCTATGGTATAATCGCCTTTATTTCGAACAAATCGGCTTAAGTCCAATTAATCAATAATTGTGGCCAAATAGCCTTCATTACACACATTTTTTCTTGGCAATCAATTGCCTACATTACAATTTAGTTAATCAATTTTTGTCAAACCAATTGCCAATAAATTAGATTAACCACTTTTTAGCGACAAATCGCTTAAATCAAAAGCTTTGGCAAAATGCCTTAAAATTAATCAATCTCTTGGCTAAAAGCCTTAAAATCAATCATTTTGGCGACAATCGCCTAAAATCAATCATTTTGGCAATCAAATTGCCTAAATCACTAAATTGCCTAATTCACATCTTTTTTTGGCTAACAGCCTTAAAATTTCAACCTTTTTTTTGGCAACAATTGCCTAAATCAAAACTTTTGGCTACAAGCCATTTAAAATCAACATTTTTGGCATCAAATGCCTGAACAATCATTTTCCAGGCAAAATGCCCTAAACAAAATTTGCACAAAGCATACCACACACTTCATGCATTAAGCACCCTCTAAAAGAGGCCTATCGAACTATGTTGACTTTGATCTTCCATTCAAACGGAAGTACGTAGGCACGTTTGGGATCTAACCCCGAGCGACAAGTCAAGATCACATAAACATTTTTCATTGGTCCAAATTACATCATCTTTCACCTTGCAAAGCATTCATTCATAGGTTAGTTCATCAAGCATGACATAGTCTCAGGATCCACCTCGGGTTCGCAGACCATACCTTGATCTTTGGGTTAATTAATCTAGCAATTAGGTTAATTAAAATTGGAGTCACTTAGGGTTTTTTTCCTAGTTTACCCTAAAATAATTAAAATAATTAAACAAGGTGGCGACTCACACACATCACGTGCATTTCTGCCCTTAGTCACATGCATTCATATGCGTTTGATGTTCGGGGGAGGGGTTCACACAAGACAAAATACTCAGCCTCCAGCACACCCAGCCCATGCTAAAAAGCACACCCGTGTTAAAAACTAAGGAAAATCAAGGGAGAGTCATGAGTGGGCACGCCCTGAGGTATGCTAGAAGGCACGGCCGTGCCCAGAAGAAAGTCAGGGCGTGCCAGCCTAGCATGCCAATGACAAAATCTAGCTGGGAAGAACAGAGACAAGCACGCCCAGCCTATGCTAAATGGCACGCCCGTGCCACAAAGATTCATCAGGGTGTGCTTGCCTAGCACGCCCCGTGCTCAACTAGCCAAACTTCCAGACCTGAGCACGCCAAGTCGTTCATCATAGCACGCCCGTGCTTCGAAGGCAGAACTGGCGTGAACTAAGAACACAAATCAATCCTTTTCTCACATGGGCCCGCCTTAGAGAGTTTCCTAAACGTACTAAACAAGACCTAGACCTATTTTGGAATAGAAAGAAGTCCTAACTAAGAAGAAATCCAAGGCCTAAACAGTCATGCCAAGGCTAACAGTCCATGATCTCACTATTAGTAAGATTTTGTACTTAAATAAGGATTCTTATTTTCCTAAATGGAGTCCAGATCTTGCCTTTCAGGAGCTCTATATAAAGAGGGGAGCTTTTCATTATTAGGTATCCCATTTTTTAAGTTTGTAATCCTGCATAATTCTCTCTCTCTCTCAAGGTCTCAGCATCAAGATTTTGTGTCAAGATTTAAGGAAGCCGTTCCACTATAAGCTGTTACCTAGTTTTTATCTCTAAACTCTTAATCTTGTTTTTTCTTTTTCATTATTTATTACTGATTATGAAGATTGGTTTCAAGTATTACTGAGTTTTTATTTAGATTACTGATGATCTAGCTAAACTCTTATACTAGGGATTTGATGTAACTTTTAATTTCGATTCCAATTTATATATTAGATTTTGTTTATTTCATATGTTCTTGTTATAAATTTATTTTTGAGCTTAAAGCTTCCAAGGCAGAATTTTTCCCCTGGATTGAAAACTATTTCATTATCACGTATCGGGAGAAGGGTTTTTTGATATGAAAACGACAATAAATTACTTAGGATAATAACTTGATAGCGGAAGCTATAATGGTTTGACTTAAGGGAGTTCATAAGTATAATCGACCTTAAGGTTATGAATTCACAAACAATTATCACAAAACTCAATGATTAATATATTTTTGATTACACTATTATAAGAATAGGGTAATTAAACCTAGATTAGAATAGCCTAAACAATACATCGGGAAGAGCTTGTTAGTGATTTTCTGTGAACCCCCACCCCAAATATCAAGCATGTTAAATGCACAATGACTAAGGCAGAAATGCACGTGAATGTAATGAGTCGCCACCTTGTTTTATTATTTTAGGTAAACTAGGAAAAACCCTAAGTGACTCCGATTTTTAACTTAACTAATTACTAGAGTTAAATTAACCCAATGTTTTAAAGGAAATGGTCTACCGAACCCGAGTGGATCCCGAGACTATGTCATGCTGATGACTAACCTGAACAATGAATGCTTTTTTGGCAGGTGAAATGATGTATTGGGAGCAAGAAAATGTTTATGTGGATTTTTGACTTGCGCCGGCTGGGTTAAATCCCAAACGTGCCTACGTACTTCGTTTGAAATGGAAGATCAAAGTCCACGTAGTTCGATGGGCCTTTTTTAAAAAGGGCTTTTGAATGGGTATGCTTAATTGGCATGAGTGGGTGTGTATGCTTCCGGGCAATTTTGTTTAAGGCAGTTTTGCCAAAAAATTGATTGATTTGATTAGGCATTTGTTGCCAAAAGGTGCCTTGAATTGGAAGCAGTTTAATTGCAAAAATTGATGTTTGGGCTTATTGTTGCAAAAGATGTTTTGTTGGGCCGATTCGTCGCCAAAAAATTTTGATGGTTTTTGGGCCTTACTTTTGCCAAAAGATGTTTTGTTGGGCGATTTGTCGCCCAAAAATTGAATGGATTTTTAAGGCAATTTATTTGCCAAAGTTGATTTAATTGAAGGCTTTTAGCCCAAAATTTTGGATTTTAAGCGCTTTTGTTGCTAAAAAAATGGGTTATCTACTTATAGGCAATTCTATTTGCCAAAAGTGATTAATTTTTGCAATGTAGGCCATTTAATTGCCATAAAAAAAAAAAACGTTATTTATTAAGGCCTTTTAGTACAAGAATTATTAATTTAATTGGACTTAAGCCGAACTGTTCGAAATATCAGGCAATTATACCATAGCCATTAATTAAATAGGTATTTTTAGCCAATATCGTAGGATTTAGGCTTTAAATACCACGATTAATTGATTAACCGGGCATTTAGCCTAAATTTATTTAATTGAGGCAGGTTTATTTTGCCTAATGAATGGATATTGAATGCATTTATGCAGTTGTAAAATTAAATTAGGAGTAGAAAGAGACAATGCATGAAGTGCTAAAATTAAATAGGCGGAGTTTTAGTTTATTGTTTGATTTAATCGACGGCCCCGTTCTTAACTCCAGGTTAAGCTCCTCGTTAAGGGAATAATTAATTAATTTCAATTTTAATGACCAATTAACAAAAGCAAGAAGCAATAAAAGCTAAAATAAAAAAATGCAGAAAAGCAGTTAAAGAATTCGCAATGGAGACGTGGGGAGAAGGAGCCGCTCCGTCAACAACAGACTGAGTGCCGGGGCCGATATTTATAGGCCAAATCGGACCTGTTTTCAGCGGCCATTGGGCCCCGCCGGAGCTGGCGGCGTGGGCCTCTCGGGTTCCCCGGTCTGCTCGAGCCACCGAGGCCTGGGTCGGTTCTGTTGAATTTTTCCGTTCCGAAGGCTTTTTGGGTTAGTTCCGGACCTCCAAAAAATAAATTCCGGGACCGAGTTCCGCGATCGCTCGGGACGTCCCGGACGTTTTAAGTACCATATTGGATCTTCCGGTAAATTTCCAAAATGGCCTCCGGTCCGGCCGGTACTATTTGCAGTCCGGGAACAGCTTTTTTTGATGCCTCAAAAATTTGAGTATTCACAGTTGTCCCCCCACTGGCTATCATAAAATGATTTATGAGAGCCAGTTGGCTGTCCTTGAAGGAGCAAATTTTGAGGAATGGGCAGAGGAGGAAACCCGCCGTTGGTTTTTTTTTCTTTGAAATGAAATGATCAAATGCTATGGATTTATATTTGCACTTAAAGATTGTTTTTGCCACTCTTATGAGGGCTTGAAAAAGAGATTTTTGCCTCTTAATGAGGAACTTGAAAAAAAGGAGATTTTGCCTCTTAAAGAGGATTTTGAAAAAAATGTTTTTGCCTCTTAATGAGGGCTTGAATAAGATGTTTTGCCCTCTTAATGAGGGATTAAAAAGAGAATTTTGCCTCTTAGAGGACTTGAAAAAGCAATGTTTTGGCTC